CTGGCTGGGTTTGACTACTGTATATCTATTGTGCGAGAAACATGCTGCCATGCTCATGTAATTCAGTCGAACAGTGATTGTGTACGCGAATATATACGCTGTACAAGCTATATGCTCGTACCATGGTACTCTATACAGCCCACACTTCGGTAGGGACAGATATAAGTACAGCAACACTGACATAGTACTCGTGATCACTATGAACAATAACTATCTCACTGAGAACTCACCGGGGTCTCTACAGACTATAGATGGATAAAATTAAAACACCAAACTTCTCCCGAATTAACAATCCACGGAGAAGGGATATGTAGCGATTCCGCCAGCAGTGTTCTAGTGCACTCGCTAGTACGGGTAAGACTACATATCTAGTTTTAAATAACAGCGCTACTACCAACAGGCGTGTATAGTAGTGACTGCGACTCAGTCAGTATGAGTATATAGCCCGTATCGGTGGTTGTGAAACTACGGGTACAAGAGATCGTATTACCATACGTATCGTCCCGCATCACCCATGCGCCTATATATCATAACAGAACACTTGAAGCACACTCTTGATTAACGCCGCATGACTATGAGAAGTTTTAGCAGTATATATCTAACACTGTTCTAAGTGGTCTATATCTATCCGAGTAATGGTAAGGTACACTCAATATAAGCCCCAAAGGTGTGTTATGTATTCATTACTGTTATTGTGGCTATGTAGCATATGCACACTTTCTAGTCTGTTTACTTAGCCTTCTGTTTGACTTAGCAGGCTAATGGCAAGGTACGCTCAATATAAGCCCAAAAGGTGTGTTACGTATTTATTACTGTTGTTGTGGATATGTTGCATATGCGCACTTACTAATCTGCTTACTTTATAGCCCTCTGTTTGATTTATAATTCTATGATGCATATAGATAAAAACATAGCCTTCTGAAGATTGAATGATACAAACCATTTTAAAATAAAGAAATACATAGCCTTTAGCCTTCAGGTTCTCAAATCTATTCTCTCCACCCCTCAGGCCTCAGCTCACTCTTGTTTTGTAAATATCTGTAATAATGTATGTATGCAAAAATATTTATACCCATAGCCACGCCCTAGGTCAACTGTGTAGTCAGTATTCAGTTGGCTATGGTATATCTGACTGTCCATATGTGCAGTGTGGATTCTATTGAGTTAGCAGAAAATTGCGGGCGGATGAATATAATATTTTGGAGTTTTATGTTTCTTGTTGTGTGTAAAAAAATCATCATCGTCCGACGTCAGACGTCCGACGTCATGATTTATGACTGTAGTACTGTACAAATGTATGTATTTACATACGTCAGACGTCCGACGTCATGATTTATGACTGTAGTACTGTACAAATGTATGTATTTACATACGTCAGACGTCCGACGTCATGATTTATGACTGTAGTACTGTACAAAATGTATGTATTTACATACGTCAGACGTCCGACGTCATGATTTATGACTGTAGTACTGTACATATGTTTTTAGGGTTTTTAGGGAAAACCCTAAAACCCTACATACATATGTATGTATTTACACACGGCCCTCTGGATTTGGGTCTCTGCTAAATTTTCGATTTCCGTTGTAGAGAGAAACCTTGATTTCCGCTCGAGACCCCATCCAGAGGGCCGTGATTTACATATATGTATGTATATATATTTTTTAGAATAAATAATTTATTTACAAAGAGGTAGTCACTGGTCTGAGAGTCTCTGGCCCTGGGACGTGCCTGGGCAAGTGGGCATTGAGAGCCTGAGGCTCTCGAGTCTCGGAGTCTGGGGCTCTGGGGCCTGGGCTGTGGCAGTGTGAACTTCACGGTACATTTACCCATTCAGTATTTGTGATAAACGTTTACCGTAAAATAAGTAAATGGACTTACACAAATGACTAACGAACAAACATTTTATGCGTTTTAATGTAAAAAGAAATTCCGTTTTACCGTAAAACGGTTTTGATTTAACGATATACGTATTTATTCATTACGTACACACAGTCATACACTGGTCATAGGCCCACAGGGCCACATGGTATAGGCTAACCTCAATTCGTTTCTCGTGGAAACGGACTAAAAAAACTACACACAACAATTTGTATAAAAAAAGTTCACAGACCAAAGTGATTGGATGCTCTCAATAAGTAGGTGGCTCTGTAAAGTATATATATATATATACATATATCACAGCCTTCGAAGGCTACATATATATATATATATATATTATATGCAAGAAGAGACCAAGACTATATATGTATTGCACAGTCTCAAATTAAAACATTTACGTGTTATCTTTGAGAAACACATACATGGTTACATACCACAACAAATAGGGTGGCAAAGTGTCGAGTGAGAGTGTATTCCACGCTACTTAGTAAAAAACTAGATGTATATCTTAACTTGCACAGAATCTCTATATTTGAATTGACAACATTTAAATTTCACTCGATGCACAATGCGGGGACCTGATCAAGCTGTAGGGCCGTCTGTGGTGCCTGATGTAGACTTTGTGTATATGGTGAGGAGGCGGAATACATGTGATATGCTACAATCATACTATACATCCGATAAGGTAGGTGCAGGATTGATATGCCACGAAATGTACACGCAAGTATATTCAAATGCATGCTTAGATATATTTAAATATGTTTGGATGTACAGCCACAACCACAACCACACCCATACACTTCCAAACACACAAATACGCATATATATA